GTTGAAGATAACTTTATTATGTCACAAAAGGAACAGGTCAATCGTTTAATTTTAAAACTTTGTCCAAAACCTATCGTTCAAAATTCCACAGAGAAAAGTAATGTACATAAACATAATCTTCCGATTTCAAATCGTCAAGAGTTTAATTTCAATACACACTGGCTATTTTATCGTGGAGATGTGAGTGATGCTGAACAAATTGATTTTAATGATGAGACGTGGGAACTCGTGCATTTGCCACATACTGCTCGTTTAGAAATTTTACAAGTATCGAACAATAATTATCGCGGTATCGTATGGTATCGAAGACCTTTTATACTGGGAGATAGTTCGTTTAAAAACAAGAGAATATTTGTGCGTTTTGAAGGTGTAATGCAAGTAACAGATGTATGGCTCAACGGGATATTATTAGGTGAACATCAAGGTGGATATACTCCATTCATTTTTGATATTACGAATTATGTGAAGACAGATGGAAGTGAAAATGTTATTGCAGTTAAAGCAAATAATGAAGATAATCCAACAGTACCACCCGGCAAACCTCAAGCAGATTTGGATTTTACTTATTTTGGAGGAATTTATAGAAGCGTGAAAATGATCGTTGTCGATCCATTGCATATTACCGATTCGATATTTGCCAATAAAATCGCTGGTGGTGGTATTTTTATAACTACACCCTTTGTTAACGCCTCTTCAGCCATTATTATTGTACAGACGAATGTTAAAAATGATTATTCTGTCGATGTTGATGCAACCGTAACATCATCTCTCGTTGACCGCGATAATAATATTGTAGCAAGAGCTGAAAGCACTCAAAGAATTACCAGTAACAATAATATTGATTTTGTTCATACAATGCACATAAACAATCCAAATATATGGTCGCCTGACACACCTTATCTTTATCGTGTTTTGAGTGAAGTCAACAACGGATCTCAAGTGATAGATGCTCTTCAAACACGTATGGGTGTTCGTTCCATTTCATTCTCAAAACAAGATGGTTTTCAACTCAATGGTCAACGTTTCATTCTCAACGGTACCAATCGAGGTCATCAAGAATATCCGTATGTGGGTTATGCAGTACCCGAATCAGGACAATATCGAGATGCTTTATTGTTAAAAGAAGGTGGTGCCAATTTTGTAAGATCTGCTGTTTATCCCCCAGATCCAAGTTTTTTAGATGCATGTGATGAATTGGGTCTATTGGTACTCGATTCAATACCAGGTTGGCAATTTTTCAGTGAAGATGCTCAATTTCAAAACAATTCATTCAACGATGTTCGTCTGATGATTCGTCGAGATCGAAATCATCCATCTGTGATCTTGTGGGAGGTGTCATTGAATGAAAGTCAAGTGTCAGACGATTATGCGTCGACAACGCATACAATAACACATGAAGAATATCCAGGCAATCAAGCATTTTCATATGGAGGAAATACGGAAGATGCTGGCTATATATTTGATGTACAAAATGCCAATTCATCCACTCGAGGACCAGCTGCTCTCATTTATCGAGAATATG